GGGGGGGGGGGTGAAGAACTGAAAAGTACCTCAAAAAGTTTCCCCCTCGATATGAGGAAGGACGCCACAAACCGCAAATCGATATCATAATTAGAACTAAAGTTATGGCCAGTGGTGCGTAACTTTTGAATAACCCTGTATTATAGGTTGATTCTCCATTAAAAATCACGTCGATCATCGATTGAATTATTTGATCTACTGAAAAACATAAAGTCTTTCAGTCCGGACCGCATACTAGTGCTGGTCTATCTGTGTCGTACAACTGACCTAAAATGACCTAAAAGTAAAATTATAATTTTTTTTTTTAAACGATAAAGCTACATGATAGGTGAGGCATTCTCGAAGACAGTCAAATTGAAAAATTATCTTTCTCTCTGAAACACGGGACTGTAGAACACTTCTACAATGGGATGCAATTCTGAGTATACCCATTTAAAAAATGAGAAAAATGCTCGATCTATAGACAATCAATTATTTGACAGATTTCCTATAATAATGACGCATTGGAAAAAAATTGCTGCTTTAATCACGCGACGTCCTTCTAAATAAATTTCCGATTGTTTAACGTGCGTTATTTCTTGATTCAGTCAAAAACACTTAAGTTATTTCTATGATTTCACGCGGTGCACTCATGTGTAAAATTCAATGTAGCTCCGTCAACTTGTGTGATATCGTTCTTTCCGATCGGTCGTTCAGATTCAGATGACTGTGAGTGTATTATTATGATCATCTGATATTTGCATTATTCGTGTATTCTAATCGCGTAACTGAATTTGATTACCTCAGAGACTTTTAATCTGGAGGATACAACCTGGATTAAGCTTATTTTTGTCCTTGGGTCAAGGCCCATTCTCTTTAGTGCCCCAGAGTCGGACTATTGCTTTCTTAGCTTCCTGATATTTTACGTATCTACTCTTGAATTAATCATACACTTTCTTCATTCTGGATGGCTGGTGCTCTATTTATATTTGGGTGATTCTATTAGAATAGAAAAAATATAGCCAAAAATACTACTTGTTTTTGCTTTGAAGTTAGGAAGAATTCTATCAGTACAGATGTTAGGAAGAAATCAACAAGAAAAACAAAACAAATCAGAACCCATTATAAAAATATGGATTATATAGGTACAGCACTCCTATATTTTCTTAAAATTGATACCACGTTCTCCATACAGCCGGCTCCAGGATTATCACCGAGTAACACATCAAATGACTTCGTGCGAGGTGCATAACCATTTATCTGAAGGCGCTGATAGCGCTTACGCTAAAAGAATTCTACAGAGAAAAGCAGTTCTTACAATATCCAGCCTTAATGGATAATCAAACTTCTTCTTTATTCTGAAATTACAGGAAATACTTTTTTACTTGGGCCGATTTCTTTAAGCAACCTTTGTAACTCCTAAGTTTCCTTATCATAGAAAATAAAGGAGTATTAAAGTCTACACGTTCATTGAAATTTTGAAGAGATTTAAATTCAAGCGTGGCTGGCTCGAAGAGCGCGCAAAAAAGTTGGTTTTAATTTT